TGGTACAGGGGAAGTGCCGCCTGTCCCAAGCGTCCTTACCGAAAGTCCATTTGGTGTTGTAATCCCCGGCCGCCCGGTTTGGCTAACATTTCAGTCCCTAGACTCGACTCATTGGACGGCAGCTCTAGGTGATGCCCCCAAATCGTTCGTGGTGTTCCTTACCCAAAGCGTTCCCCTGCAGCCTGGGTATAGTATCGAGGTGTACCTTGCGCGCGAGATGGATCCTAACGGCGGATTTGTTTATGTTTCGGCCCTCACTCCACAGAACCCAAGTGCACTTATACAAACTCCGAATACCCTTCTGAATATCGACCAGCCTGTGCGTTTGGTCCTTGGACTCGCGTTGGGGACTGAGGACAGCGTTCGCAACTTATCTCAGAGTCTAAAGCCGCAGGTGGAGGCAGCACACATGACTACCAAGATTACCTTGGCGGAGCGTATTCTTGAAGATTTATGCAACTTCACATTGAGCTACGCGCGCAGCATAAAGCCTGGAGAATTACCCTCTGAGCTCATTACTGCTAACGAGGAGTATATATTAATGCCTGCATCTTTTGTGACAAAATGGAAGGAACGAGTAATGACGAAGCTGAAAAAGGACGAAAGCTTTTGGAATTAAGATAAAAAAGTTACCAAGGGGGTAATATTTTAAGTGTTTTTACTTTTTACTATTCTGAGCTTCCTTACATGCGATTTTGAATACTTATTTCGTATTTAAAGAAATTCCTTCTTTTCATTAAAGTGTGAAAAAATAGGGAAAGGGGTATATGGGTCTATTAGTTACTTTCCATTCTCGCATGTGGGGATTAAGGCATATATTATTCCATTTTATCTATGTTAACTTTTTCCTCTTGTTAGAAAAAAAGTGTAAATGAAAAAACCGAACCAATATAGTTAGTTTTTTATTTTTACTGGCTTATTCATATTTACTTTCTCAGTTTTACACTTTCCGATTGAAGGTATTTTTTCCTTGTTTGCCAAGAAATAAGGACATTCGCTTTCTACTGTAATGTTTCCTTAATTTTTTTTTGCACACAAGGATATCGTTGAAAACCCCTATGCTTTCTAGAAAATCAATAGAAATATGAATCTATTAAATAATTTACTCTTTCTGTTATTTCTAAAAAAATTGAAAGACTGCATTATCTTTTCAGATATAAATTGGTAACACAGATTCAATAAAAGGCGAGTAAAAAATGAATATAAGTAGACACACATATGTACATATATTTATATTTATACTCTACATTGCATACACGTGTAAGAAAAGAGTCGCATATTGTATAAAAATACAGATCTGTGGAAACAATATACTTCTTCATATATATAGGAACTTGTTATTTACGATTAGGCTCATTCAATGGACTCACCTTTATGACCTTTATTTTCATCATAAGAATTTTCGTATTTTTATGCCCTCTCTTTGAGTTTTTTTTTGCAATGTGTTATTGATATGTGTTGCTTTTGTAATGGAGGAGGGGGAAAACTATAGGATAATATGACTTATCAGTATATTATAGAGTTGTTTTGTGGCTTCCTTTCTTCTTTCTGATTTATATATTTACGACTAAGTGCTTGCAGAATTCATTTTAATTCTATTCTCTTTCAGACAAAAATGTATAATATAATAATAATTCATTTATGTGTATATACGTACTCATTTTAGCTGGATTGTATGATTTTTCAGTTAGTTTAAATGTGATGACTGTATATATATATATATTAAAAATTAGAGATTAAGACTTCCTGCACGTCCTGTTAGGATAATTTTCCAATGTATCATCATAGAATACACAACATATAAAAATATTT